CCCAGTCCCCAGGCAAGCAATGACTTACCCCCCCAACCCCCACGTGTGCAGGTTTGCAGTAGCACATGGGCGAATGTGCCTGCGAAGCCAGTTCTGCCCTAAAGGGGGCGCTGTGGACGGAGGGAGGAACGTAGCTGTGGAGGTTTATGGTTCTGAAACGGGGCTCTGCCACCCGCTAGCTGTGTGACCTGGGGTCCTTAACCGTCTCTGGGCCTCAGTTTCTTCATGTGCAAAATAGGGATAATCGTGGTACTGCCTCAGGATCTTATCATGAGGATTAAGTGAGATCATGCTGGTGACACTCAGCACCTGTAATGTTGGCTGTCGTCACGGCTGATAAGACAGATGTGCATACGATCGGCAGCATCCACGCCCAGGCTGTCTCTGGTACAAACGGGAATTCCGGAGAACTCGGCCAGACAGAGAAGAACCCCCTGTAAGTTTGGGGAAGACGGATGAGGCAGAGGGTGGGAATAGGGGAGGTCTAGAGAAGTAAGGTGAGGTTGTTTTACACCAGCCCGGGGATGGGCAGGCCGAATTGGCCAAATGGAAACGAAAACTTCTTGAGCTCCAATAATATGTGAGGTGCTTGCACATTACACAATCTCTCTTAATCCCATTTTACAGATGAGGCAAGTGAGGCTCAGGAGGGGAACAGAGCAGGGGCCCAGATCACCAGCGCCTTCCTCACTTTTGGGCTAGCAAGTGGCATTTGAATTTGCTTCTGGTCCTAGTAAGCTAGGATTGGAATCCTGACCTGTCTGACTCCTGAGTTCACCTTCTTCCCACCGCCCTCCAAGGCCTGAAAGCCCTCTGCGTGTGATTGAGACCCGTACTCCTCTAGGTCCGTGGAAATTTCCTGGAGCTCTTCTTAAAATGCAGATTCTTATTTAGTGAGTTCAAGGAAGGGCTGAGGCTCTGCAGGCCTAACAAGGTCGGGGCAATGTTGATGCTTCGGGTCAGGGGACCACCCTTTGAGTAGCAAGGCCTTCCAAGCTCTGCCCTGATGGGATCTTGAGACCTAGGGACTATGCCAACCTGTGGTTCAGTTGAGGAACCCAGAAAGGGCCCCTTTCTCCTTTTGCCTCGGCTTCTCCAGTGGAGCCAGGGCAAGCGGGAAGAGGGCGGCCAAGGAACCAAGCTAACCTTTCATTCACTGGGAATCGAAGAGTGGTCTCCCGCCCTGAGACCAGACAGCAGGGTCTCCATGTGCAGGGGTGGGTGGGGGCAGGAATCCATTTGGCCTGGAGCTACCTGAGCCCGGCAGAAGGGGTCGTTTTCAAATCCCCTCAAAGCTGTCACGCAGGTCAGTGAGGGCCCTACGCTTTCCTTCCATGTGTGCCCCGGCCCCTGGCAGCAGGGGGGGCGGGGCAGGGGGGGAGCGGTCTGGCAACAAAGACAGGTGCCACCTTGGCTGTGAGTGAACATCCTCTCTCAGGCAGGGCTTTGGGATGATAGAGTCGCTCGTGTCTAAGGACCACACTTGAAAAGGTCACCGCCTTTGGGCTGATTTTGCATGTGGGTGATTTTTAAGTAGCTGTCACTTGGCTAAGCTGCTGCCTCCATCCACCAAAGGGATTTTCTCTCAACTGGGGGGAGAGGGGGGAGAAAAACCCAGTGCAGATGAGTAGCTTATGGCGGCACTCACTGCACAGGCTGGGGGCGGGGAGAGGCAGATCGGGCCGACAGGGCTCCTGAGGGAAAAGGAGGCGGGCGAGAGGGGCCAGGTGATTCAGGTGATTCCTTTTCACCCACTGCTTGTTGGTTTTTAATAAAGAAGTCAAACTCGGTTTGTAGATTTCCCATTAGGGGACAATAAGCTTTTGTAGAGGGAGCCACTGAATTAGAACTAATAGCGAATGCAGTGCCAGGATCCGGGGAAATATCACCGCTAATAAGTTTCTGCCTCGTGCTCTGTCACTGACATTCTCGACGCTGTCTCGCGCAGCCAAGCAGAAGGCTTCGATCTATCCGTATATGGGGCACCCGCGCTTGCACCAGAGGGATGCCCAGGCAGGCTGTTGGGGCACCGGACGTCAGGCGAGTCCTCACGCCATGGGTTCTCTGAGGCGGGGGAGCTGCTGCACAGCCCAGAGCCCAGGGACAGGCGGGGGAAGAGGGGGAGCACCACTCCTTTCTGGGCACCCACAGTCTGGCAGGATGGGACTGTCTTAAGTCCCAAGGGGTAGACAGCAGCTTTGGTGCCTCTCTCTCTCTCTCTCTCTCTCTCTCTCTCTCTCCTCCCCCACTTCTCTCGTTCATTGCTGCTCAGCTAGAAGGGACTCCAGCAAAAGGAGCTCCCCCTCAAAGAGCTCCCGGTTCCTTGGGGAATGAGGCCCTGGGGGGGCAGTGCCGCGAACACTGCGGACTCCCCCGGAGGCCACCGCCCCAGTACCCCTGTCCCCGCTCCCCAGCTCCCAGGGGAAGGGGAGAAGGCTCTGAGTCAGGTGGGCCAGTGGGGGCTTCCTCCAAGAGGCCAACGGGCAGAAATTCTCACTGATTGATTACAAAAAGCCGTGGGTGAGGACCAGAGTCTTCAAGGTGGGGGGAAGTCGCCCCTGGCTGGGCAAGAGGGAGACAGAGGAGCCAAGAGGAGGCAGAGGCTGTGCCTGTTCAGCCCCTCGGCCCACACCGGCCCTGACCGCTGCCCCGCTTGCTGGTGAAGGCTGGGCCAGATGAGGGACTGCTCAAGACCTGGACGAGGTGGGCTCTGGGAAGCCGCCTGACCCTGCCTGCCTGCCACTGCACACTTCTGTATCCTCCGGGCCAGAGTGCTCCTTGCTCCCTTCATTTCTGGGGGCCAGGAAGGTTCTAGAACCTTCACTGTCATGCTGGCAGAGCTGGGAGGGAAGTTGCAAGCGGGCACCCCCAGCGTGGAGGACGATGAGCTGAGCAGGAGAACAGGAGCGAGCTTGGAGCTGCACCAAAACCCCAATGGGAGAGCAGGGAACCTGCTGCTCCCTGCTGCCTACATTCTCCATCTTCCTGGCCCTCACACGTCTCCCCAAGGCCCGTCCTCCGTCCCTGTACTATAGCCCAGCCAGGGGAGCACCTGGCCCCTTCGTGACACCCCACTTGGTTCTGGTCGTGCGTCAAGGCCAAAGCCCCTCAGCGCCAGCCACGCCCAGCCTCCCCTTGGCCGACAGACCAGCCCTGCAGGCCTTCCTGTCCCCTCCAACCTGTCTGTCTTCCTTCCAGGATGAGAACGACAACCCGCCCACCTTCAGCAAGCCTGCCTACTTCGTCTCCGTGGTGGAGAACATCATGGCAGGTACGGGCTCGGGCGGGGGAGGGTGTGAGGGCACGAAGCCAACAGACACCCCCATGACAAGTGAGGGGAGCCTCTGGAGAGGTCCAGTCATCTGCCAGCCAACAGCCGTTTACAGAGCACGAGCCCCTACTATGTGCAGGCGCTCCGCCGGGTACTTGGTCCCCACTCTCCCGCAGCTGCAGCCTCGCGGGAATGGCCACCCATCAGTAATCCGACAACCTTGATTAAGTGAGTGTATACAGAGTACTGAATCCCAGTGCTGTGAGGCAGGTCCCAGGGCCAGGGTGGCCAAGGGGGTGGCCTGAAAGGATGCTGTGCGTACCTACGTGAGAACAAAAGTGGGCCGCTCATCTCTCGGCTGCGTCTCTGGTGGCAGGGCCCAGCTTGCAGACCCGGGGCCACCAGCTCCACATTCAGGTTCCGGGGGACCCGCTCCGTCCTTCCTGACGGCTTCACCCTTACACCCAGGGTGGACTGTTCCAGTGGGGAAACCGCCCTATCAGGAATTGCTGTAGCATCCGGAGGTGGCAGGGGTGACCTTCTGTGGCACCATGGAGCCTTCTCTAGGGAGTCTCCGGGTACCTTCCTGGTATCTGATGATTTTTCTGGGTGGGTGCCAGGCTGTGCCCAGCCCACCCTTCCCTGTCCCAGTCGGGCATCTCCTGGAGAATAACACTGCTGAAGCTACCCCTGTGCACTCCCCGCTGTCCCCGTGACCTCTGCTTAGGAGAGGCCTTCGTCATGGCACTTAGTCCGCTTCCAGCTTGTGCTTGGATAAAGGGTGTGTCAGGGCCCGTGTACCTGTCCTCCTGCTCAGGGTGAGACCGAGAGTCGGATTAGAGGCTTCACAATCCCCGGAAGGGGCCAGAATGACCTGCCTATCGCACAGCCCTCTGCCTGGCCCCTTGGACCCCCAGGGACTGTTGATTCACGCACACAATAGTAACGGCAGCCTGTGGCTCAGAGAGAGCTGCCACGGGCCTGCACCCTGCATGGCCTGCTTCCCCTCCCCCATCCTCACCAACAACCCCGCAAGCTGGCTTTCTTTCCAGGTAGACCCATTTCACAGAGGAAGAGGCTGAGGCTCAGACAGTTGCCAGAGGGTCCCCTGGGGTTCCAGCCTGGGCGTCATACACCAAACCTCCTCGGTGGGGCAGTCGGGTGGCAGTGGGGACAGGAGGGGGCTGGAGCCCCAAACCCGACCGATAAGGGTCTGGTGAGCACAGCTGGGAAAGGCGGATCCCCCGACCCCGGATTTCAGGAGATGGAAATGAAGGTGAGGGCCTTCATTAGACATTACAGGGAAATAAAATCCCTTATAAATTCCCCTTGTGAACGAGATGAAACAAGACCGAAATTGAATACGGTAAATGTGGCATCATGTAACATGGGGCTTCATTTCTTTTTGACTCAAAGCCAAAGCTGGCCAGTCTGAGTGTATCGCCCATGGCGAGCGGCCAGAGAGAGGTGGATAGCAGTGGTGGGTCGCGAGCTTCTGGCACAAGCCACCGCCACCGCAGGCTCCGGGACCCCCTTCGTGGAGCCTTGTCCCCACGCAGCCCAGGGAGCTCTGGAGGTCGAGCCTCCCCGCCTCATCCCTGGGTGCCCCAGCAGCAGGCTCCCTGCCTCCTGAAGGCTGGTCACCAGGAGGTCCCGGGTCCCCCTCCCAAGGCCTGGGGCCGCAAACCCGGGGTGAGCGTTCCCCACTTTGTCTCCCGGAAGGGGCCACGGTGCTGTTCCTGAATGCCACGGACCTGGACCGCTCCCGGGAGTACGGTCAGGAGTCCATCATCTACTCCTTGGAGGGCTCCTCCCAGTTTCGGATCAACGCCCGCTCAGGTGAGCACCCCCCCCCCCCCCCCCGCCCCGTGGTCCCCGTCACCTTCACCTCAGGCCGGCTCCCCACGCCCAGCCCTGGTCCTGCTCCTGGGCCAAGTTCTCTCTCCCTTTCACAGGAAGCCCTCGTGTGGAGCATGCCAGCTTTGAGCGCCTGGTCTTATCCCTGAAATATTAACCTGAGTGTGATTACTGATCCTACACGACCCCCCAAAAAAAATTGGAACGTGAATGTATCCACTTCAGGGTATCTTTCAATGGTGAAGAGCCCTGTTAGGTTTAAAATGTGTTCCATTTTACCAACAGCTGGCCAACATGCCACCCTTTGGGGGCTCTCTTTCCTCAAGTCTCCATGTCCCCCTCCCTCAGAGGCTGACCTATTTACTGAACTCTGGCTTCTCCTCTTAACACTGTGTAAGCCTTGGTTTCCCCCCTGCAGGACGAGGATGGTCACGTTAGGGGTGGAGTGTGGGTCACGTGAGTGATTGCAGGGAGCGCTCATAGAGTGGTCCCTGGCATATAGTAAGTGCTGACAGAATCACGTCTTCATCATCATTGTCTTTGGTCTTTTCACCCAGAGGCCCCCATCCCCGGCTCCCTGGTCAGCCCACGGAGCCCTCACCTCTCTTCCCCCTTTCCCCATACGCCTCCCTCCAGATCTCTCTCCCTTGAAGCTGGTGGGGGGGGAGGGGGAAAAAGCAACAATAGACCCCAGATCAGAAGCTGGGAAGGGATATGAGGCCCTTGGACATTCATTCATGTATTCAGGCTTCAGTGGGGACCTGCTCTCCACCAAGTGCCAGGCTGGGTGCTGGGGCGCAGGATGGAATCAGACATGACCTGCCCTCCTGGGGTTCCCGGCCCATTTAGTGGACATGCAAGGCCCCCCGCTTCTGAGTCCCCGATTCTGTATTGTAAGGGCACTGCCGATGCCAAGTGGGCCAACCCTGAAATCTCAGTGGCTCAACACGGCAGAGATTCTAACTCACACGGCGGTCCAGCACCACGTCCAGTGGACAGCCTTCTGCATGGTGATTCTGGGACCCGGGCGCCTTCCCCGTTGTGGCTCCAAGGTCACTGCAAAAGGGAAGAGAGCCTGGAGTGCTGCCGAAGGAGATGTCTATGGGCCAGGCCCGGAGGCGACATATGTCACTTCTGCCCACATCCTATTGGCCGGAACCAGGCAACGGCCCCGCCTAGATGAAGGGGACCTCGGGAAGGGGTTTCTGGCCTGCCAGCCCCTCTCAGGCAGTCATGCTCCCTTAACACAGCTCCTTCAGCTATGAAGGTGTGTTTTCCTCAGAGCTCCTTGGTCAAATTAGCCAGGCCTGCTCCACAAAGGTGGCCTTAATTGGATCTAATTTCCCAGACAGGGGTAGCCATCTATCACACCGACAAGTTCACGCTTAAAACTTTTCAGAGATTAATTTCTTCCTTGCCCTGCCAATTAATCGACACCACCCCAGCAAGGAGCACGGTGTGGTTGGCAGACCTTTGCCAGTCTTTTGTTTTTGGCCTCAGCACCTTCACTGTCCCGTCCCCATGCTCAGCTCCCCTCTCAGCCCTGCACAAGCCAGACAATCTGCCAGTGTGGCAGGGAGGCAAATGTGAGACATCTGGTCCAGCTCCATCATTTCATGGTAGAATAAGCCAAGCACAGAGAAGTTGAGTAACTTGCCGGGGGTCACACAGCGCAGGCAAGAGGGATTAAAAAAAAAAAAAAAAAAGACAGTCCCTGCCTTGGTGGTATTCTCACAGTCTATTGAAAGGAAATAAGTCTTTTCTGAGTGTGGAGAGCTTGACCTGTAGTTACGTAATCCTCACAACAGCTCTGATCCGAAGGCATACTAATACCCATTTTACAGATGAGAAAACTGAGACCCACTTTTCCAAGGCTGAACGTGTAGAAAGGGTCGTTAATCAGAATTCAGATGTGGGCCTCACTGTCCTCAAGGCATCGCTCGTTTCCATAGCCCATGTGCGCTGGTAAATGGCCTGCCTACCATGACACCCTGAGGCTGGCCCACCTCACAGCTGCTCCTGAGAGCCAAGTTCAAGCATCTCCTCCGCTCTGTGTTCAGTGCCATCCAGTCAGTAGCTTACAGTGGCCCTGGTGGGAGCATTACAACCTGAAAATCAGCAAATGCCTTTTTGTTCTTGTTTTAGGGAGGCGGTTGTCAAATGCCAGCACGCCACGTGACCCGGCGTGACCTCCACGTTTTAGTTATATCAGAATACAAAGAAAAGCCAAAAACGGGCTGATAAATGATCCATTTTTTGAAAAATTTGTTTAACATTTATTTTTGAGAGACGGCAAGCACAAGTGGGGGAGGGGCAAGGGAGAGAGGGAGACAGAGGATCCAAAGCAGACTCTACCATGAGCAAAGAGCCTGATGCAGGGCTCGAACTCACGAACTGTGAGCTCACGGCCTGAGCCGAAATCAAGAGTCGCATGCTTAACCGACTGAGCCACCCAGGTGCCCCGATGGTCAATTATAATTGCTTGTATTTCATGAAATAACTCGTTTATACACTGGGGGAAAAAAAAAACACCTCAAGGCAATATAATCACGTTACAAGGTAATTAAGGAAATTCTTTTATAACTGTTCTCAATACATTGTAAGTTACTTGTCCAGTAATGAGTCACCAGGGTGAACATGTGTGAAACATACATTTCAGTGCTGTCCTGTAATAAACAGCGCCAGGCACTGTTCTAAGCCTTCTGTGATGTCAGCCGAATTAATCCCTCAACAGCCCTATTACTTTTCCCTTTTGACCAGATAAGGAAACTGAGGCACATAGGATTTAGGTAGCAAGTCTCAAGTGATAGGGCTGCTAAGATAATGTCAAAAATCTTAAGAGAGGTCTTTTGTGACCTGTCGTATTCTCCATCCCCTAACGCCATTATCGGCCCAGATTTTCCCACATTAAAAAATGACTTTCCGATCAGAAAGGTGTTGCTACCTCTGGCTTCTGGTTGCCAAGGCATAGGTGCTATCCCTGTCCCTTCACGAGCGTCACCTCACACCCCAGCACATGCACACACGTGCAAACACATGCTGTCAGCTTGTGCAAACGGCTTCACCCCCTCTCTCCCTCCTTCCCTGCTCCCTCCCTGGCCCGCCCAAACCCTCTCTCCTGCAGGCGAAATTACCACCACCTCCCTGCTTGACCGTGAGACCAAGTCTGAGTACATCCTCATCGTACGAGCGGTGGACGGGGGCGTGGGCCACAACCAGAAAACCGGCATCGCCACCGTGAGTGCCCGCCCCCTGCTGTGACCCCTGCTCCCCAGCCCATCTTTAGGGTGCACCTGTGTCCCGATGCAGTGTGAGGCACGTGGGAGCGGGGTGAGGGTGGCAGTTACCAACTCACTGTCAGCCAGGGTCAGCCCTGGGGCCGCTGCAGCCGCAGGAAATAAAGGCATTCCCACCTGGGACGTGGTGGCACATGGGAGGAGCAAACGTCCCCCAAAGACCAGCGGGGCAAGAAGCAGAAAGCGTGCACTCCATAGGCCCTTCCCTAGGGGCTCCTACACAGGGCACGTATTCCTGCCAGGAAGAGTGGCCCAGAACAGGAGGCAGGGCCCCCAACCCTCACCACCCCTCACCTTGGTGCTGAGAGATGATGCCTAGATTTCCCTACCATGAGTAAGCGGGACCCATAAAGGCCTAGATTCCCCATCCGAGGCCTGGTCATCCCACCGAGGTGCCTCAGATATAGGAAGCTAGAGAAGGGACATCCGAGGGTCCTGACCGGGCTCTGGGCTGCACGAGAGATGGGGGGCAGTGAGAAGCAGGAAGACGCGCGGACCACTCACTCTGGCCACCTCCCTTCCATGACCCTCCCCTTGCTTTCTCTGGCTGCCCCTCAGGAGCCCTCCCCGACCTCTCCGCACGGCCCTCACCCTACCCACCGCAGCTGCCCCCCATCCTTGCCCAGCCAGAGGGGCTGGTGTCAGTATTTCTTGGCCAGAGACTTGGCAGAAAAATCCCCAGTACCCCGTTCAGTCATGGGAGGCCCCTGCTAATAGGATTCTGAGCCCTATAAATAATTTACGTGGGTGGCAGGGGAGCAGGGAAATTGCTTGGCTGGTAGCTGAGACTGACGGAATCTCAGGGGATTCTACTAGGTCCCCCCACCCTGTCAGTCACCTTCCGCCAAGACAGGGGTGGGTGAGAGAAGGCCCAGGTTAGAGGAAGTATTTCAGGGGTCACTTCCTTCATTCCTCTGCTTCCTGATGGGATAAGACCTAAGCTCTCTCCTGAAGGGACCTGGCTCCCTCCTTGAAAGCCCAGGCCTGCCCCGAAGCCCCCAAAGTGGGTGGAACCAGTGGAATTAATGCAGAGATGCCCCGCAGGCACCCGAGTATGTCCCCCTCGTGGGCACTGCCCTTGCACAGCTCAGCCAGGTGCCTCCCCCCCAACCCCCATGGCTTCGCAGGTGAACATCACCCTCCTGGACATCAACGACAACCACCCCACCTGGAAGGACGCCCCCTACTACATCAACCTGGTGGAGATGACCCCTCCAGATTCTGACGTGACCACGGTAAGTGGTGGTAGGACAGCCGAGCCTCCGGGCTGCCCTCCTGAAGGTGTCTGCCATTCCCTCGTGAGCCCCATGGGCCGGTCCACGTGGGACTGATGGATGTCATGTCTCCCTCTGAGCCAGCCCACGGAGCAGATTTCCAGAAGCTCTCTTGCATGGTGGAAGGTAGTCAGAGTTTGGCGGAAAACCCTCACCTGGGCCTCAGAGACAGTGGGCTTTGGGCTTTGTCAAAGGGAGCAATGGCAGCCCAAGGACAGTGACAAGGCAACTAGGGCTGGTTCAGCTAGTGACCACACTTGGCAGAGACCCCGGGACTCAGTCCGGGCCACAAGGAGTGCTCCACCCTCCCCAGGCGCCTTACAGGTGTCCTCCTTAAGTCCTACAGCATAGATTCTGCCCCCCACCTTTCCCTCACTGCTTCTGTCACCGCAGCGGGAGCCTGGTCAGCTCCCCCCACAGGCGGGCCCCAGGGCTTTCCCAGTGGGGCGTTTGAAGTTCGCCCAGGGATTTTCTGGCCCGGAATATTCCAGGTTTGCCCAGGCCCCTGGGCGTGCTGCGTGCAGGGATATGACTCAGAGTGGGGAGCAGGGGAGACATGGCCAAAGCCTCAGGAGTCCGGAAGGGAGCCAGCCTCCTGGGGAAGATGAGGAAAGTCAGGGTTGCATACCCCACTTGGTCTGCTCTGGAGTTCACGTTTGTGAGGCTGTCTCTTCCCCTCACCCGTGTGCCCCCTTTGGCCTCATTTGAGGTGGCTTATCCCCAGTGTCCAGCCCCATGGCCACTCCGCCAGCTGTGACGAACATGAACCTGATAGTCCATGATAACCCCACATATTGAATGTCTGCGACATGCCAGGCTTTGCCCGAAGGCTTCTCATGATTTCTCTCTCATCCTCATGATGGGGCAGGTAGACTCATTGCTCCCATCACACTGTGGAGGAAACCGAGACTTGGAGTTTGAGGGGTTTGTCCGGGGGCCCAGGGCTAGTAAAAGGTTGTATCAGGACTTGAACCCAGGTCTGTCTGATTTGGAAACTACCTGGTCCAGCCCTACATCCCTGCTGGCTCAGGGAGCCCTGGCTGGTGGGCCAGGTCCTGAGAAACTGGAGAGTGTGTGGGGGGTGGGAGAAGGAGGGCACATTTCATATCCAGCTCTCCAGGAAGGCTGCCCACCCCCCTTTGAGGCTTAGCCTCCCCACCCCCGCCCCTCATCAGCCATAGCCAGTAGGACTGGTCTAGACTGGTAAGGATGTCAGCCTCGAAGGGAGTCTCCTGTCCTCCTTTCCATGTGTTCAAGATCTGAATGGCTCTCAACTGGTGGGTGTATCCCCCTCCCAGACATTCCAGTAGGGTCTGCGTCAGGTATCTGGGATCTAGTTTTTCAAAGCCCCAGTGGGAGGACTCCTTGGAGGCCAGGGCCAGGTTTGGGAACCACTACCTTGGGCCTTTTCCTGGCTCTCTCAAGTGCTCTAGACCTTGTGGGCACTCTCTGCTGCCATCTCGTGGGCACTTGGGCTCTAGCCCAAGACCACTCCAGCCCGGGACCCCAAGAGAGCCTACCTCGGAACACCTGCCTGATCAACCCTTACCTTTGCTTTATGTTTCTGAGAAAATATTCCCAGAGGGCATTGAGAGGCAAGTGAGACAGGTGTCCCTGGGAGAAAGTGGCTGCATGGGACACTAGCCAGAGGTGCCATGTTTGAAGAGTCTACCTGTCAGACAGAGAGAAGGTTTGCTGGACTGGGACTGCACTTGGCCTTGGGCATTTCCCAGATCTGGTCCCCAGTGGCGCTTTCCGGGTCTCCAGCCTTCCTTGCAGCCTTTGGACTGTGAGCAGGTGTGGACAGTGGGCCAGGGGCCTGCTGCCCAGGGTCTTCTCACTCCCCGGGAAATTCGGCAGACCTTCAGTGAGCACCTGCCGTGTCCCAGGCCCTGTGCCCGTCAACCTTAGAAGCACAGAAAGTGACGACATTCCCCTCTGTTTTCAGGGAGGTTTGTGCCACTTTTCTGCTTAAACCCACCACTGGTTCCCATCTCGCCCTGTGTAAAAGCCAGAGTTCTTAGCAGACGGACCTGCCCCACCTTTATCTCTGGGGAGTCGGACATGTGAACCCACCCCTCAGGACAGGCTCGGCATGGCCGTTCCTCCCACAGGGTGGGGATTCCAGTGTTTCAGTGCCTCCTGCTAGTGTTTGAGATGCCCCCCGCCCCTACAGTGTCATGACTCAGAAGTTGAAAGAGAAAAGGGCAAAGTCAAAATTAAAACTTATTATGTCAAACGTCTAGCCAAATATATAATGACAACTTCAGCAATCATGGGATTTAGCATCTGAAAAACTTTCATTGCACTTAAGGACAAATTGTCGGTTAGATTTTTTTTTTCTGTAATTCTTGAGAATTTTCAGAATTCTCTGCAATTCCCAGGTATGTGTGATCGTTTCCGGGAAACCAGGAATCAGGAAGCCCATACATTAGTCAAAGGTGTCATAGCAAAATAATTTCAAAAGGGATAGTCATGAAATTCTGCTAAATCTTATGGTGTCTAGGCATTTACATGTGGGTACACTGTAATGCCGTTGGGGGTGCTCCCTGAGGCCTTCTAAGGCCACACAGTGGCCCTGGGTGAAGTGGGGGCTGTGGCTGAGATATGAGAAAGGGAGCTGGGGGTGGGGAGGGGGACAGCTGACCCAGAAGTGACATCAGGGAGGAGGCCATGTTTGCATAGGGGCTGCCCATCTGACACATGTCCTCCCACCCGTCCCCAATCCGCTAAACTCTTCCTCCCCTCAGAGCTTTCCACCCCCTGCTCCCCCCCTGCAGAGCGTTCCTCTCCCTCTACCCCTCACCCCTGCTTTTCCCACGGCTGCCTCATTCTCCTCCACAGCTTAAAATGCCACTTCCTCAGAGAGGCCCTCCCTGATCACCCTGCCTAAGGTAGCTTTCTACATTGTTTCTTCCAGAGCTGATCCCACGTCTGTGTTCATTTATTTATTAGGTTGCTTGCTTATTCGGAGACACTATAGGGATTAAGAGAGCAGCCTTTGCTCCCAAAATGTCTACGGTCTAATCCCAGCCACATCCCTTATCAGCTGTGTGACCTTAGGCAAATCACCATACCTTTCTGTGCTCCAATGGTCTTATCTAGAAAATGGGACAGTGAGAGCCCCCACGAATAGAGTTGTGGTTTGTATTTAATGAGCCACGGGGTGAGTAACAGAGAAATGATAGCTGTCGTCACCATGCCTCCTCCTCTGGGTTCATACCTGTCTCGTTCGCTGTTGAACCCCAGTGCCTCGCACGGTGCCAGGTGCATTGTAGGAATTCAAAAACTAGGGCGCCTGGGTGGCTCAGTCGGTTAAGTGTCCGACTTCGGCTCAGGTCATGATCTCACAGTTCGTGGGTTCAAGCCCCGCATCAGGCTCTGTGCTGACAGCTCAGAGCCTGGAGCCTGCTTTGGATTCTGTGTCTCCCTCTCTCTCTGACCCTCCCCTGTTTGCACTGTCTCTCTCTCTCTCTCTCTCTCTCTCTCTCTCTCTCTCTCAAAAGTAAAATAAACATTTTTAAAAAAAATTTTTTTAATTAAAAAGAATTCGCAAATGGTCAAATGCTAGTTGTTGAGGGTCTTGTCCGACTTTGTTCCCCGCTTCACCTGGCCCCCCAGTTCTCCCAGGTCAGGTTGGGTCTCCCTTGTCAGAGGGAGATGAGGGTGTGTGGCCCAGAACTCTCCCAAAGGCCAGTGACTTCCCAGAGCTGCGTGTGGACAAGCGTGTGCCTGTATCCTGGCGTACCGGGGGTGGTCTGGGCTTGCGCACCTGTGCGCTCCCAGGGCATGCACCTGCATCAGGGCGAGCCCGCGCATGGCCCCTCTCGGTTTGCGGGTGAGATTTGGGCCCAGCCTCCCTCCTAGCTCCTGCAGGCTCCTTCAAGGACCTGGCTGATGGGCATTGATTTAGAGCCTTTCAAAGCCCTCCAGCAAAATAAGAGAGGGGAGAGGGAGAGAATTATTCCCCGTCAGGCCGGGAGAAAAATGACAGTGTGAAATGGGAAATGAAGAGGGAAAGTGGTGAGACTTTACACAGTGACCAGGAGGGAGCCTGCGGGAGGGGTGACAGCCAGCAGCCCTCCCCTGTGTCCCCAACCCCGCCCGAAGACCAGGGAGTGGCCCTCGAGGCCAGAAGTCTGGGCCCACCTCTGGCTCTCCGGTCAGAGAGAGAAGACGAGAAGCCCCCATCCCCATCCCAGATAAAATTGATCTCTACATATTCAGCAACTAGCTGCTAGCCCGGAGCAGATCTTTGAACTGCTCTGTACCTCAGTTTCCCCATCCAGAAAAACGGTGATAAAAACCTCCCCCTCCTCCTCTAGAAAGAAGCGCTGTAGAAACGCGAGGCTTGCTGGTCCCTTCTGTCCGTCAGTGGGATGATTTTTGCCTGGCTGAAGCCACACCCGGAGTGCCTGAGAGCCCTGCCTCGCCTCCTGTTGTCAACACAGGGGTGATTGGGTCCCCTTTATCGAGGCTGGGGAAACTGAGGTGACGTGCCCCATAGCACAGCGAGGGCCCCTCAGGCCCGGGAGGCCGGGGCCCTCCCCCAATCCCTGCCCCCGGGTGCAGCCAGGCCAGGAGGGGATCCAGTGTGCTTCTCTGAAACAGAAGGAAGGTCCGCAGGGCTCAGGGTTCAGCGCCAGCACTGGCCTCTCTCCCTGGCCACTCCTGGACCCAGGGGCAAGATGGGGGCCTGTGGCCAGGGCAGCCCATCTGTCTGTTCTGGTCTGGTGGCCCCAGAGACACCTCCGGCTGGGGATTAAGCCAGAGGAGGGACAGATTCTGCCGCCAAAGCACAAAAGGCCCCACATCAAGTAAGGTGAAGGAGCTGACGAGGCTAGGCTGTCATCGCCGAGTGTCTTGGAGTTAGGAATGACATCGTCCTGATGCAGCCCTGGGGACTGCGGTCCCCATCCCCCCACCCCATTGGTCTTGTCCACCTCTGGTACCACAGTGAGCTCTGCAGCAAGGGCAGGGGTGGGCTGAGGGGCGGGGACCACTGCTGTCCTGGGACCCTAGGAGGTGTCCAGGGTGGGAGCTGGGTCAGCCCCAGGGCTGGTGCTGTGTGACCTTGAGTCTTGCCCGTGCCTCTCTGAGTTCTGCTTTCCCCTTGGCAGGGGTGGGTAGACGCTAGAGAAGTTTTCCAAAAAGCAGGAGATTGGCAGGCACGGGAGCAGGGAGGAAATGGCTTGGGGGTTGTGCCCTCCTAACCCAGGGCACTCAGGTCGATCCCTTCTTGGGGTGAGGCTTACAAGTGGGGAGCCAAGTGTGGGGGGCTGGAGAGGTAAAGGGGCCTCTGTCCCGAGGCCTTCCCCCTTTTCAGGCAGGGAGACTCAGCCCCCTCTCTCCTCCAGCCTCCCCCTCCCCCAGCCGCACAGCAGCCCCAACCTGCTGAGACCCACCCTCTAAACAGGACTCCCTTCCCCTGCCCTGTCATTCCTGGGGTCACAGAAGCCTGATTCTCTTCAAATTGCTGGTTAACTGTCCATCTCTTGATTTCGGCTCAGGTCATGATCTCACAGTTTGTGCCCAGGTTGGGCTCTGTGCTGATAGTGTGGACCCTGCTTGGGATTGTCTCTCTCCCTCACTCTCTGCCCTTCCCCACGCACACTTGTGTTCATTCTCTCTCTCTCTCTCTCTCTCTCTCTCAAACATTTAAAAAAATAATAAAAGTCCATGGGAATGCAAGCTAGTACAGCCACTCTAGAAAAAAGTATGGAGGTTCCTCAAAAAACTAAAAATAGAACTACCCTAAGACCCAGCAATTGCACTACTAGGCATTTATCCACGGTGTGCTGTTTCGAAGGGACACGTGCACCCCCATGTTTATAGCAGCACTATCTACAATATCCAGAGTATGGAAAGAGCCCAAATGTCCATCGATGGATGAATGGATAAGGAAGATGTGGTATATACATACATGGAGTATTACTTGGCAATCAAAAAGAATGAAACCTTGCCATTTGCAACTATGTGGATGGAACTGGAGGGTATTATGCTAAGTGAAATTAGTCAGAGAAAGACAAAAATCTTATGACTTCACTCATATGAGGACTTTAAGAGACAAAACAGATGAACATAAGGGAAGGGAAACAAAAATCATATAAAAACAGGGAGGGGGACAAAACAGAAGAGACTCATAAATATGGAGAACAAACTGAGGGTCACTGGAGGGGGTGTGGGAGGGGGATGGGCTAAATGGGTAAGGGGCATTAAGGAATCTACTCCTGAAATCATTGTTGCACTATATGCTAGCTAATTTGGATGTAAATTTTAAAGAATGAATGAATGAATGAATGAATGAATGAATGAATAAAAAATAAAAGTCCAAAAGAAGGAAGAGAAGTTTCGATGAGGAGGATCCAGTTCCCAAAATCCAGGGTTTCAGAAGCTTCTGAGAAGTTCTCAACCTCCCAAAGAATTCCTAGTCCCCAAAGAATTCCATGACCAAGGCCTGCCGGGCACCCCCTGCTCCTCCAAAAGCCCATGAACGTGTCGCCCCACGTGTCTGGGAAGGAACGACACCAGGATGTGCTGGCGGTGTTGCCCGCTGGCTACTGGCCCAGGCTTTTGCTTCTACGAATCAGAAGGCTGGGGCTTACGTGGGGAAGGGGACTGGCCTCAGGGCAAAACCGAGTGCACACCGGCTGCTGATCCATTTTGTGAACCTCCTGCCTGCCATCCCCCCATCAGAAGCCCTGCCAGAGCTGGAGGGAGGAGCAGAGGGGTTGGGGGGGGAGCAGGAGGTGGGGGGAGCAGGAGGGAGGAGCAGGGGGGGTGGGGGGGTGCACGAGGGAGGGACCCGCGTGTCAGCTCAGACCACCCAGGAAAGGCAGCCTGGGGCCCGGAGACTGGGGCTAGGCTCCACAGAGGGTCCGTCTCTTCCTGAGCAGGTGGTGGCCTTGGACCCGGACCTGGGAGAGAACGGCACCCTGGTGTATAGGATCCAGCCGCCCAACAAGTTCTACACCCTCAACAGCAGCACGGGCAAGATCCGCACCACCCACGTCATGCTGGATCGGGAGAACCCCGACCCCCACGAGGCGGAGCTGATGCGCAAGATTATCATCTCTGTCACTGACTGTATGTGTCCCTTGCAGCCCCACGCTGCTTGGCTGTGGCCTCTGACACTCAGGGCCCCTGGGACCTCTCCCACTGACTCGTCCTCCATGGGTCCTGAGGCCTGGGTATGGGAGGGCTGTGTCATCACTAATAATGGAGGAACACTCACTTGCCAGTCGTGAGCCCCAGGAGTACCCTCGGGGGGGGTGGGGGTGGAGGTTGCTGGGGCCGCAGGGCCAGGCTGCTCCCTAAAGGGACCCCTGGGATGGAAGGGGTCTGCCTTCCTCTCCCCACTCCCCATTCTCCCCTGTCCCTTTCTCTTTCGCACCCCTCTTTCCCTCTCCCCCTCACCCCCTAGGCGGCAGGCCCCCTCTGCGAGCCACCAGCAGTGCCACAGTGTTTGTGAACCTCTTGGACCTCAATGACAATGACCCCACTTTTCAGAACCTGCCTTTCGTGGCCGAGGTGCTGGAAGGCACCCCGGCGGGGGTCTCTGTCTACCAGGTGAGTTTCTCTTTCCTGGCCTGAGCTCCTGGTCTGCCTCCCTCACCTCGTCTCACCCAGTCAACAAGCAGGCACAGGGTGCCCTGGGTGTCTAGCTTTGCAGTGGGAGAGGGGGGCAGGGGGTGCCAGCTGAGACCACCAGACGGGATGGTCTGTGCCGGGCTTGGAGAGCCAATGCTCTGGGAGATGTGATGGAAGGCTTCCTGGAGGAGGAGGGGCTTGAGCTGGGCCTCGAAGGACAGGTGGATGTGGAGCGGTGGAGGGAAGGTACCAAGGGAGCTGACAGAATTCTGGGTCTGAGTATGGAGGTCATACTCCGAGCTTGTGGCTGGGTCTAGAACACAAAGAAGGTTGGTGGGTGTAGCCCAGGCACCCTGCCTCCGTGGGCAGGCCACTCTCCCACGTTCTCCCGTAAGCCCCAGAGCAGCTCCACACAGAGTAGGGGGTGCTCTCCCCACTTTGCAGGGGCCGAAAGAGACTTGCTTATGTCCCTGCGGCCAGGAAGAGGTACGGCCTGATCTTGAACGCGGCCCCTCTGCCTCCTGCCCCATCACCCTCTGGGAGGCGGCCCTGAAGATGCTCGTTCAGGGAGAATGACACCCTTTTAGGAACGGGGGAAGGCCCTCATGGTGAAGAACATAGGCTTTGGAGTACAGCCAACATGAGAATAGACCCCAGCTCCTCCGCTGGTGTGCTGTGTGGCATGGAACAAACAACCTCACTGGGCCTCCGTTTTCCCACCTGTGCAATGGGGATCATAATAGCACCTGCCTGGCTGTGCTACAGGGCTTCAGGCAGACACACATGGAAAGCAACCTGCACTTGGGCTGCGGGAGACCCACGGTAGCTGACGGGCTCATCATGATGGGTCCTGTGGGGGTTTATGCCTGAGACCCAGCGGGGTCCAGTGGCAGAGGCTTAGCCTGACCCCACTCGAAGAACGCAGGATTGTTTGTCGGGATATGCCACAGCGCGTAACTCTGGTGATGCCTTGCAGGCCTGCTGTGCCTCAGTTTCTTCATCTGCGGAAGGGGATTAATAGCCTTCTTTGGGGATCCCCGGGAGCAAGCTCTCCAGCAGGACATTCTCCCAAACGCCCAGCAGGGGGTGCTGCGATCCAGGGAGAGCAGCCAGTCCCTGAGGAGGAGGAGCCCCCAAACAGAAGGCGGGAGGAGGGCCAAAGGAGGCCCGTTCTCCTCCGGGGGCTCACAGCAAAGAGAGCACAGCTTCTGAGTTCACAGAGGAGCTGACTCAGGCATGAAAGGATGGTTGAAGGAGCTCGAGTGTTTAGCTTGGGAACTGTATCCTCAGATACAGAAAGGTTTCTGACTGGAGCTATGCGTTCCCCAGCCTCCTCTACAACCTGGACCGAAAGTGATATCTGCTGGCTGGGTGGAGAACTTTCTCCAGGAATTAGAGCTCTATGCAGATAAGTCAGAAGTAGTGAGCCCCCCCATCCTGGGCAGCATTCAAGTTGAGTCTGGACACCCTCTTGTCCAGCTTGTTGGATGTGAATTAGACCAGCTGACCTTGATGTCGTCTCTCCATCTTGAGGGTCTTGGCTTCGTCATCCAAAGCTTTTATTTTTAACTCTCACGTTTCCTCAAAGGTCCCTGATCCTCTTCTGTAAAACTCTGACTATATCAGGGTATACCTGAGTATATCAGGGTATATCTTGAGTCAGGAAAACTCTCGTCAGGGCTAGAGGTGCAAGTGGGAACGGTGTAGGGATTGGGGAGGAGGCTTGCCTACGCATGGCCCCACATGACTTTTTCCAAACGGTAAATCATCAAGGGAGTTTTAAAAACTGCCCCCTTCTATTGTCTTGATGTCATCCAACGAAGCAGGGGGGAGAGCGCCTGCGATTTTGGGTAGTCGAGGAACCCATGGTGGAAGGGCTCCTGGAGGCGTAACTGTTGCTTCCAGCCGGCAGTCGGGAAGCCTGCTGTGACACAATGGCACCCGGAGGCCCCGAGCCAGCCAGGGCCCATCTGGGGGGCTTGCAAGGGGGGAGAGCAGGGTTTTGAAGAGGAAAGCTGCGGTGACCCGGACTCTTGTCCTAAAAAGTGCCTTCCCCACCCCACCCCTGGCCCCGCTCAGTGTGCCTGGATGCCTTTAGTTGAGCCACGCTGCCCTCTTAGCATCTGGGAAGGCGCGCTGGGAGCAGTGGCATGGCCCGAGGCTCTGGGGGAGGCAGGTGTGTCTGCACGGGTCGGCGGGAAGGAGGGGGCACTTCTCAGGAGGGATGCCCTCGTGTCCCCACCCCTCATGCGGCCCCCGCTTCCCCGCAGGTGGTGGCCATCGACCTGGACGAGGGCCTGAACGGGCTGGTGTCCTACCGCATACAGGTGGGCATGCCCCGCATGGACTTCCTCATCAACAGCAGCAGCGGCGTGGTGGTCACCACTGCTGAGCTGGACCGCGAGCGCATTGCCGAGTACCAGCTGCGCGTCGTGGCCAGTGACGCAGGCACACCCACCAAGAGCTCCACCGGCACGCTTACCGTCCGAGGTGAGGGCGGGGCTGCCTCCTACTGTGTGTCGAGCACGTTGGGCCCTGGGGCAGTGCCAGGCAGGGTGGGGAGCCCGCGAACACCACTGCTGTCCCTGTCCTTGCGGGCACAGGATGCCTTGCTAGTGGGTGCCCTCCTCGACCGTGCCACTCAACACAGAGTCTTCCCCATCGCCACCAAGTCAAACGCTCCAGCGGGGTCTTCTCTCTCCCCACCCCGGGGCCACTGTACCCCCAGGGGTCTGGACCCACTGCCAGGGTCCCCTACCCCTCCCAGCCTCTTGGAACCCAGCAAAGAGCAGAGAGGTGCTGCACAGGGTTGGGGCCCTCGGGGTCAGCAGCAGGGAGGGGAATTTGCAGAGCCCTGCACCCCCTGTCTGGGCAGGGCCAAGGCCAGTTAGCATTTCTCCTCCATTCTGATCATATCTTTAATTCTTGGGGCAAAACAGGGACATCGACACGCGCTGTGGCCAAAGGGCCCGAAGTAACCACGGGAAACTAAGTACAGAGCGTGACGGGCAAGATGTGGCCTGTTCTCTCGCACAGGCCGGCTCCCAGCTGGGCTCCTGCCTGCCTCCGGGGCATTGGTGCAGGCGGGGGCTGGCTCCGTACAAACACCCGCCTTGGTCCCAACCCGAGACGCGACTACGCAGTCTCTCATCTGCTGGTCCCACGCTTGCCCGGTGGGTTCCCGGTGCCAGTTTGGGGACCCACTTCCGTGCCAGCGATTGACAGGGAGGGCGCGCTCAGTTCTCTCAGGGATGGCCCCAGAGGACTTTTCTCTAGGGCTCAGCAGAAGCCGTGTCCTCGAACGGGCGCGTCGTTTCTCCTGGTGCCGTGACAAAGAGTGAGCCAAAGCAGGGGGATGGGATTGTTTCACAGGGAAGCTCGTCCCAAGCCCCATCAGCTGAGAAAACAAATCTTTCGGGGAAATTAGACTTCTCTGGGAGGGGGCATCCTCAAAGCCAGCTGTTTTCCTGGGACCCCGTTGCAAACTAGGGGCAGGCCTCCCCAAGACCCCCACCCTGCCCCTCTCTTGCTCTCTGACTTCAGACAAGTGACTCCGCTGCTCTGAGCTCTTGTCCCCTCCTCTATCTGGCGTGTCTAATAATGGCTGCCTCACGCGGGTGTTTCGAGGGGGCTCATGGGGTGCTGTACAGGAAGCACTTAGCACAGGCCTGGCACGTGGCAAGAGCTGAGATGTCGCCGTCCTCGCCACCATCATAACTGTTGTGGTTGTGAGGCACAAACTAGAGAGAGGCCCTGCGGTTTTCTCTCCTGCCTTGGGCAGCAGCAGCGGCAACAAACCGCCAGGGGAACAGGACCGTGGGAGGCTGAGGAGCTCTGGTCAGCTTGGCCCTGACCCTAGCAGGCACGAGGGGCCTCAGCCCAGGACCGAGAGGTGTAGACCCCCGCTGCCTTTGGAGCTGGGTTATCTGGAGCAGAAGCCAGGCCTAGCCCTGGGTGCTGACTCTGTCCACAGTGCTGGACGTGAACGACGAGACGCCCACCTTCTTCCCGGCGATGTACAACGTCTCTGTGTCCGAAGATGTGCCACGGGAGTTCCGGGTGGCCTGGCTGAACTGCACTGACAATGACGTGGGCCTCAATGCCGAGCTCAGCTATTTCATCACAGGTGCAACCAGCCTGGGTGGGGCCGGAGAGGGGGAAAGGGCCCCGAGTCAGCCATCAGCCGTCAGGCTTTAGCCCCTGCATGAGCCCCCTTGGGATTTTTCCCAAGGGCTTTGTAGCTGGGTCCCTCCTGTCTGGCTCTCTGGGGGCCTCCTGGACCTATTGGGAGATTGGGAACTTACCGAGGTTCAGTCTGGAGGGAGGTAGAGCCCGTGACTCCTGGGGAAGAGCCCTGCCCCCCACTCCACCCCCATGTCAAGGTGATGAAGCAGACACTGGGAGACTGTGGCCTTGTCCTTTCCCGGGGACCCTTCTTTCATGAGAATTCCTGTCTGTTTAGAGACAAATGGTTTAGATCTTTCTAAATAAAATGGTTGCAGCTCAAAAAGACCAAGCAGAAAGCTGTGGAGAAATAGTATGAAGCCTTGCCCTGGCTCAACAGGAGAAAGGGAGTCATGATCCATTAGTGATGTCTGCCATGACAGTAGACTTGGGAGGTGGTGGTGAATATGCCATGTATTAGTCATGCCTGGGTTAGAACAGTTGCTCAGCATTCTTTAGTCCCTGATACAGCCAAGACATGCTGGGATGGCACGGGGCAGTTCTTTCACATTCCTTAGCTGTCCCTTGGCCATTTTGCTGGTTCAGTCCTCTCTCTGTCCATGGCCTGCCGGCAGCCACGTTACTCACAAGCTCATGTGCGCACGTGTGCATGCACATGCATTCAGCACGCACACCGGTCTCCCTGATGCCTCTGCCCCTAGAGCAAGGAATGCCAGGTTCACAGCCCATCCTTGCTTGCTGCAACCGAGGGGACCTCCCAGCCCTCAGCCTCTCCTTTCCAGAATTTTCCCTCCTGCCCCTCCCTGTAGGGACCTAGCACCCACAGGGCAGTTCCTCCCAGTCTAGTCCTCCAAACTGCTCCAAGAAAGTCTTAGTTATCCAGACCCTGCCCGCCCCCTGCCCCGTGGACCAGTCATCGTTCAGCACCCAGCACTACTTGTGTCTCAGTTTCTACCCCACCCCCTAGAACCCAGACCTTGTCCCATGTGACTGGTGCTTCAGACCATCCACAAGGATGTCTGGGGTTTTCCCCCAGGGACAAACTATGTAAGGACCAGGGAGCATCTCATGGCTCCCAGGATGATTTCCCAGCACCCAAAGTGGCCAGTTCCTACTGACCTGCTGAGAGCCTTCCTGGGTTGGGTGGGATTCTCAGATTTTGATTTGCTCATTCTGCAAGTTGCCTCTCATGGTCCAGGTCCAAACCCAGTGCCATGGCGCCCTCTACTGCCCAGAACACCATATTGCCTGCCAGCTGAACAGGGAGGGGTCTTTGCACTGTTTAGATGGGGGGGGCGGGGGGGGGGAGTCCTTTCCTGTCCACCTTGGAGAGGGGACCCTCACACTTCCTACCCCATCCACCTGCCCCTACTCTTCACTCGGTGGAGCCTCGGGGAGTCGCCATTCAGTCCAAGATTAGGGACCTGGAAAAATCTTGGCTGACCCCCAAGGCCCTGGCCACATATAAAAGCCTCGACCCAGGCTAACTGCTCAGACACTTCTACCAGACAGGCAGGTGGCAGAATGGCGAAGGACACAGGCTCAGGAATCAGACTGCCAAGCTGGCATCTTACACCCAAAATAGGTGACTGTAACCCGGGACAACACACGTATCCTCGCTAATGGGCCTTCTCCCCTCTCTGAAATGGGCTTGTGATAGTACAAGTGAAATGAATTAGCCCACATGAAGCCCCTGGTACACAGTAGGTGCTCAGTGGATATTCAACCCTTATGATTTCAGGCATTCGGCACCCACACCTGAGCCCACACAGGCCACACCCTCTTCAGAGCCACCCCCCCCAGAACCCTGTTCTCGGGGCTGAATGGGCAGCATGGCCTTTTCCTCCCAGGCTACCCCTGGAATGTTCTGGCTCAGAAGCAGAGCTGAGGTGCCACCGCCCTTTCCCTGGCAAGAGCCCCGGTTCCTGACAGAGGCTCCATTGTCTTTGGCCCGCAGGTGGAAATGTGGATGGGAAGTTCAGCGTGGGCTACCGTGATGCCGTTGTAAGAACAGTAGTGAGCCTGGACCGGGAGACCACAGCCGCATACATGCTCGTCCTGGAGGCCATCGGTACGCACCGGCCCCGCCTGCACACCGCCAGCACGGTTCTGGGCACGGTTCAGTGAGGTGCCCTTCGAAGGCCAGGCAGCCCTGACCCCGGGAGCCAGGCCTTGAGTCGCAGTCTGTGTCGACACCGGTGGAGAAAGGGCAGCCAGACAGCCTATTGCTGAGCGCGGGTGGCCACGAGGCTTAGCTCACAGTGCTACAACGCAAAACATTTAGTTGCTGGGGTGGGAGCCACGGGGCAGCTAGACGGGAGACCGCTGTGTGGACAAACCGCTGCAAAACCAGGCCAAAGGAAGCCGAAAGGGGGAAGGGAGGAGCCAAGAGTATCGGGCGCACAGGGAGGTGCAAGCATGTTCAGGGGAAGGGTGTGATCAGGGAAGTCTTCTTAGAAGAAGTGTCTTTGGATCAGCATCTTGGTTGCAAGTTTCAAATAAACTGACTTAAGCAATATGGGCTCACAAAACCAGTCCGTAGGGTGATGGAGCTTCAGGTGTGACTGGACTGGGGGCTCAGGGGATGTCACCAGGCTTCAGTCTCTCGGCATTGGCTCCCTCTGCCTCCTGTATGTTGTCTTCATTCTCTGGCTGATGTGGTGACAAGTTGTGGCCTCAAACCTGGTCTCAATCCTTTTGGGTTCAAGTGCTGCATCGGGGAGACAGCACTGGTCTCTTTCCTAGTCTCCCCAGCTAAAGCCCCAGATGAGCTGTGATTAGTTCCATCTGCCCCAGTGCCTGTCCCTGAACCCCTTGTCGTGGCCAGAGGAGGAAAGAGGTGCTAGTGAAGCCTGAATCACATGCCCATCCCTGGTGCCCAGAACCCCGGGCCTCAGGGTCAGGAAGGCGGAATTCTCAGAGGGACCTTCAGGATACGGGCCGGCCTGTGAGAGCAGCATGGGGCAGCTGGGCAGATACCTTGAAGGCTGAGTAATCGTCACATTGCGGGCCAAGTAAAGTTTCAGTAAGTCTAGAAGCAGGGAGGGCGTTTCAGGCAGAGGAACCAGCTCAGGCAGAGGCCTGGTTGTGGGAAAGAGCTATGTGTGTGTGTGTGTGTGTGTGTGTGTGTGTGTGTGTG